CCTGCAAATGCCAGCGACTTAAGTGGTAAGCTAAGACCCCACCCCCTCCACCTCCCATTCTCACACGCCCATGCCCTGATTCTTGTTATTTATTTGCTGCGTCTGTTTGTCATTTGATGTGGGGGAGCAGCCCTCAGTACGCGCCCCTCTTCTAAACGCCACCTTTTTATGACTTTGGCTTGCAACATTTTTCAATCTGGCGGGGGCTTACCTGCAACGGGGGGCCCTGCTGGGAGCGATTATTGATCTCTAAGCATAGATTCGTTACATATTCGTGACTATTTTTGGCTGCCTGACAACCCCCACAGCCTCAACTAAAAACACTTCCGCTGCATTGATATCACGTGCCATGCTGACAATCACCGATGCGCTGTGACTGAAGACAAGACACTTAAGTGTGGCCAGCTTTGAAAAAGAAAACAATCTTTAAGCTTTATGTCAATGAAATTTTTGCATTTTTCAAAACTCCAATTGAATTTTTTGAAACTTGAAACTATATTGGCCACATTTATTGCAGTGAAAACCTCTTAGGCGGCCGTCAAGAGGGGTGTCCGCCTTATAGAGTAAGAGCGGGTCTTATCTGATGCAAAACAGCTTGAGCGCAAATGTCCGCCCAAGCGGTAGTGTCCGCCTGGGAGGAGTGTACGTTCGGATGGTTTTAAGCTAATCAAAGTAGACTTGGGGACGATCCACTTCGGAAGTGAACTCTTCTACATCTGCATATACAAACAAGAATCTATATGCTAAGCTGGTGTGCCTGGCACAAAATCGATATTGATCGATATTAAGGAAATGGTGAAAGATATCGTAACGCGCTTGTTTATTTCAAATTCCTCTGCTAACTAGCGCTTGTAGTTTTCGAGATTGACGCGTTCCTGATTGAGAAGATATAGCCTTATGTTGCTTAACCCATTAAAACCCCCCAAAAAGGGAGCAAGTTCCAAAAAATTACTTGCAAGTTTTGAGTTGCTTGCTGAGCTGTGTTTGTGTATTTAAAAAGCTTGGCAAGTACTTGCGATATATTTGAATTGAATAAATAGAAGGCAAAAGCTCTAAATTCTTTCGGTTCGCTTCGGTTATATTTTATTTTTTTATGCACATAACCTGGTTTTTGGCTACGTGGCGATATAAATTGAAAGCGTTGCAGCTACCTATGACCAGATAAAGAGGATCAGGCGCTGTCATGTGGCAGTCGTGCCCTGCCCTGCCCACCCACCCCCCACCCCTGCCCCCTTGCAATGCTCGTTCGCGTTGCACAAAACATTTGGCGCCTGCGTTTGAGTGTGTGCCCAATCGCAGCCCCATTAAAATGTCATGGAATTTCACTTAAAATTCCTTGCAATTTTCCCATTTGGCCAAACTGCTTTTTGTTTTGTCGCTGCAGCGGCTGTGCGGGGAGTTGGGCCGGGAGTCGGGACGTAGGTTAGCCTGTGCTGCATGTTAGCTGTTGAGGTAGATGTGGCAAAAACTTTGACTGGCATTGTATTGCCCAAACACATTTGCACTGCCATTGCACGTGGAAATGAAGTGCGTGCGGTTTTCGTTTAACGTTTTGCATTGCATTTTGGCGCCGGAAAAGCTCGAGCTGCGAAAAATGCAAGCCTGTTAATATGCGTAAGGCTGCTGCTGCTGCTGTTGTTCTGCTGCTGCTATTGCTATTGCCATCCTGCCAGCTGGGCGTCCTGCCGTTTGGGTCGCATTTCCTCAACGCTGTCTTTGATAGCGCGCTGCGCTGGGCAATGCCAGGCGCGGCGGCGTCTTCGTTTGCCTCGGTTTTTGTCGCCTGTTGTTAATTGTCATTGCGTCGCTTTAAGCCGCTCAGCAGTGGCAGCAGCGTTGACGGCAACGATGCTTGTTCTTCTTGTTGCCATACCCTGCAGCCATCGAAAATGGCTAAATAGGCATTATGTTTGTCAGCAAGTGTATGTAACGCGCAGCAGAATGCACCTACCATGGTGTATATAGATTCTCGATCAGCACGACGAGCTGAGTCGAGTCGAGTTAATCAGCTTCGTCTGTCTCTGACCAGGGGCTTATTATGTGTTAGTACGGCTAATCAGGAGCTTACGGATCTTGTTCCGTTCTGGTTTTTGTTGTCGGCCCTTCGGGGTATTTCGAGGGGGCTGTGGCTTACTACCTAAGTGCTTGAAGTGGAGTTGCAACCGGGTGCTTTGATCCATAGATCGGAAGAGTTCTCAGATAGGCCTTTTGCCAAAGCCAAGGTGGAAGGTACAACCAAACAGTTGTGTCTTTGATTGTTACCTGCGGAATTGATGTTCCAAACGGGGCACTGATTGACGCTTAAAAAAATCTTTTAGTAGGATCTTATGATCGCTACAGCAGAAGCTCACGTGAATTCTATTGATGTGCATGTCTCTCCGTCTGTCTGACTGACTAGGAAATAGAAATATAATGTACATATATTCTCCTTTCTTCCTATGCATAACCATTTTGTAATTGTTTCTTACAACTGCATAATATCGATTAATATTGATTTTGAGACTTGGCTTTTCACGCATAGCTCGAAGATTATGAAACCTATAAGCCACATACCAAATTTGGTATGTGGGCTCTTTTAAACTATATACAGAAGAGGAACATGACATTTTTAGGACAAGACCACCCCCATCTTCCTGAACCTTGAAAAACAACTAATTCTTAAAGCGATCTCCTTGTGCTTTGGTATATAAATAAAGTTTAGGGCAATGCAATTTCAAAAAGGTCGGACTATGAGAGCACATTGCTCATAACGTGTGGCTAAGTTTGAACTGGCTGCTTGTCGGTGACTGCAGGGTAACTGCTAGTCGGGCACATTTGACCAGTTAAGTGCCACTCATTGCTGTTGTTGCTGTGACAGTTGCTGTTGTTGTAACTGCTCTGTTGCTATTTTCACGCGCGGTTAGCGGCCGTAATTGCATTGCCAAGTAAACGACGCACCGCATGTGAGTAGCGAGTGTGTGTGTGTGTGTGTGTGTGTGTGTGTGTGTCTGGTGTGTCTAGTGTGCGCGTGTGTGCACTGTGCGTTGGCGTAAGTGAAATTTATTTCAACAGCCCCGCCCCCGGCAGTCAGCAAACTGTCGTTTTCGCCGACTTAGGCGCACCTTGTTCTTGCCGCCTCAGCCCGTGGCCCGCCTGCACAGTGGGCCACAGGCTGCCGAAAATTGCAGCAGGGCTCAGTGTCAGTGGCAGGCACTCAATTTAATTAGATGCACGTTATATTGCATACAGCTATCAAACTGAAATTTATCCAAAAGGCTTTTAACTGCCTGGGGCGATAAGTTTGATGGCTGCCACCGACCCCCATTTGGAAAAGTAATTTCGCTCCGCTCTGAATATCACTTGACATTTGCGATTGCTTTTTTGATTGAATTCAAAGAGTTAATTGTGAACTGCAGCGCTTAGACAGCGCTAGGTTTTTCTTTTCTCTCTTACATTCATTTCATTTAATTGAATCACAACCTATTTACATGGAATAAGTCACTTCCATTAAGAAACAGTCGCTCGGATAAAGCCCACTAATCGGAGCTTAATAAGTTTTTGGGTACTTCAGTTTATTGTTTATAAACTGAAAATAGTGGTTAATATTTACTTGAAGTATTTGAGAAAGTTTTAAAAACCAGTTGTCCCAGCCTTTTCAGCTGAAAAGGGTTTGAGCCCCGTATGCCATGATGACTAATGCTATATAAAAGAAGATTAAGAAGAAGATTGATTATTGTTAACTATATCCTATGTTATATACATATATATTATATACTACTATAATAATAAACTATACTATAGAATACCATAATAGTATGCTATACTATAATAATAAATAAATAATATAATTTTAATTTCCTTGGCTGCGGGGGCAGATGACGTCGCCATGACGTCGGTATGAGTGGGGCTCCTTTATGAGGCCCATCTCCGCTTCGGGAAAGGCTTTCATATTATTCCTAAGTAAGACCCTATTCGGGCTGTGCGCTTTCAACTTTTGTCTGCGTTAAGATATTAATAATAGTAACAATAGTAGTAATTATAAAAATAATATGAAAAATCGGCAAATATATAGTGAAAACTCTCCTTAAGTAAACTTATATTAGGCGGACACCCCTTTTGGGCGGACACTTTCTCTTAAAACAATTTGAATTAGGCCATATTCATTAATTTTCTTTTAGTTGGGAACACTCCTCTTGAGCGGACAAACATTACTCGACATACGCTTTCCGCTCAAGACAGTTTTCACTGTATAAAGAAGACTTTGACATATTCTCTGCAGAGCTTACTATATTCTTCTTCGTTCTGTTTTCGTTTGCTTATCAAGTCAAATTGAGCATATCGAGATTTTTTTAAAATGCGACTCTTCCTTCTTCATTCTGACCGTTGATCTGGTATATTTCTTAACAAAATGACTGAAATATAGCAAAGTCAGTGTTGGAAATTGCCGAGGGAGTCTATTTTACAACACGATCTTTGCAAGTCTACAGTAAACCAGACAAGGGACTAGGTTGTGGGGAAGTAGAGCAGAGAGTGCATTTTTTGTCACTAATTATAGTTCAGCTTTGCAGGGAACTGGGAATACCCCAATGGCCTATGCCCAGTTTTCATTTTCATCTGTGCCGAGTGGCTGAGAAGGCGGCACTTGAACTCATGATTGCTGAACCGAGTTGAGTAGCAGTTGAGTAAAGGGGGCTATGCTGAGCGGTGTGATCGGCAGCTGTGGATCTTGAGCAAACAATGCGAGTAGATTATGTACTTGACACGCTTAGAAAGCGAACGGCTCAGTTTTGAAAATTTGGCTGCAGGGCGTGTGCGGCTTTCTAATGCGTAAACCAAAATCTGGCAATGATATTGAGTATTTGCAATAATTCAGCATAGAATCAATGCGAAGAAAGCGTGAACTTCATCAATTGAGCCCGCACAAAGCCGCAGCTGATATGCTTTTTGCATATCATTGACGGCTATAAAAGCCAACGAGTCGCTGGGCCAGGCCAACAGTCATCGTCAGCAGCAGGCACACAATGATTCGAGCTGTTTACCTTTGGACTCTGCTAGCACTGCTGTCAGCCCAGATGCTGCTCTCGTCGGCCGCCGCCGACCAGTCCCGCCTCGCCGGACTCTATGTCAAGGATGGCAACGAGAATGGACAGCTGCGTTTTCTGGCCTCCGGCTTGAACAGCAATACGAATGGTGTCAGCGGCAATAACGGCCTTAACGCGGCCCTCAATAGCTACATAACCAACAAGCAGGACATGCTCGAGCAGTTGCGTCCGACCAGCACAAACGGTGTGACGGGCACGGGCACGGCCACGGGTACGGGTACGGGCACCATCACTGGCACTGGCACCGGCACTGGGACTGGCCTCGGCCTGGGCACTTTGACAGGCACGGGTACAGGCAGCAGCAATACCGCTGCCAACAATGCCATCTATGTGAGTCTGGGCAATGGCAATACATCGCCCACGAACACGGGCGTCAGCAACACACAAGCTGCACTCAATCAGGCGATCTACGGCTCCACGCCCGTCAACAATTTGCTGCCACAGATCATTGGCCAGGCGGTCGCACAGCGCACCCGTCCAGCGGGCAACAGCAATCGGCGACGCGTCGTTCAGCAACGGCGACGACGTGTCAACAAGAACTCGAACGGCAGACGCCGCCGTCGCAAGGGCAACAAGAACGGCAAGAAGCGGCCCCAGGTGGTTGTGGTCCGTCCCAATCGCGGCTGAGCAGCGACCAATCAGACAGCCAGCCTTCCTTTTTTTTTAAAACAGCATATTTTTTTTTAACAACATTTTTTTTTAATTATAAATTAAATTATTTATTTATTCAATGAATTTTGTTACTCAATTAAACTTTGCAACAAAACGATTCATAAACGGTTTTAAATCGAACCGGTTCGCGCTCGGCTTTCTAATTTGTATTGACAATGAATCGTAACTCAAAGTTGGTTTGATTCAAATCAATTTCGTGGTTCGAACCGTAAACCAAACCAATAAAACTTGTTGTCAAGTTTTATAGCCTTGATTTTATTTTATTATTTTTATACCCTTGCCCATTGAAAATGGGTAAAGAGGGTGTAATATATGTGTGCAAATTTATGTAGTAGGCAGATGGAAGCATCTCCGACCCCATAAAGTATAAATATTCTTGATTAGCATCAATAGTTGAGTCTATCTACTCATATCCGTCTGCCTGTCCGTCCGTCCATCCGTCCGTATGTATGAACGCAAGGATCTCAGAACCTATAAGAGCTAGAGAGCTGTTTCCGATAATCGAAACCTTGCCCCTATCGAAAAACTGTTTATAAGCAAATCTCGTAAGTAATAAGAGCTAGAATCACCAAATTTTTTATGTAGCTGTCTGAATAGTATATATATATATACTAGCCGGTTCTACCCCGGCCTTGCCTGTGGTACCTATAAAATAAATTCTCTCAAAGATCTTTGAAAATGACTTTGAAACCGATCGAACAGTAAACAAAAACCTTTTATACAACCGTCTTCCGCCAATTACCCACTGTTGCGGACGAAATTTCCCAAATCGCTGAAACACGTATTCATTAAGTTTTTATGTAGAGCTTTAAAAATAAGTTTGATGTAAATCGGAAAAACCTAAAAACAAGAATAATGTTGCCAAATTTAGATGCCATATTGATCACGAGGCCATGAATAGAAATTTTGACTAAAAATCATGTTCTCAGATTTTGATTGATAAAGAGACCAAACCATCAACAAAGAGCCAGACCCCGTGAAAATCGGATGAGAGTTGACTGAGTTATGGGGGTGGGAAATTTTGACTTATGCCTATATAGGATATTTGAGGGTACCATATTCACATGCATTTTGACCAAGAATCATGTTCTCAGTTTTTGATGCCAAATTGATTAAGAGGGCAAACCACGAACAAAAATTATAACTTTATGAAAATCGGTTGAGTTTTGACCGAGGCAAGGAAGTGGGAAATTTTACCTATGTCTATATAGGATATTTGAGGGTACGATTTTAACATTAATTTTGACCAAAAATAATTTTGCCAGATTGGGATGCATACTTGAAAGTATTATTTAAAACATTTTTAATGTGCTACGATAAAAAATAGTATTAAGTATTTAAAAAATAAAATTTTAAAATGAAAATCAACAAAGAAATGTAACAAAACATGGTTTAAAGTAAAACCAGGCTTACGAACCGAACCTGAAAGTTAGGTCTTGGTTCGCGCCGTGAACCGAACTTTAACAATTGCGTGTTTTAAGGGCTGCAATCGTACAAATACATTCGGCACTTTGAAGCACAAACTAAATTTCCAAGCTGCCACTTTAATGGCCAGGACACCTTGTGGGGCACGTGCCGCTGCCGCTGCCGGCGCCGGTGTCGGCGCCGGTGCCGGCGACTCTGCTGGGGCAAGTTCCTGCTGCAGTTGCCTGTTGATTTAGTTGTCTTGGCTGGGTCTGGCCTGGTCAAGTGCAAGACAAACGGCCGTTCCATGTGGCGGCCAATGACTTGATAAATGCACGAGAAGCGGTAGCCATAGCTGGTGTCCAGTTTGTGTGTGTGTGTCTGTGTGTGTGTGTGGTGTGCGGGTGTGTGTGTGCCTCGTGCTGCTCATGACTGTAATGAGCCTGTAAGTGGCCCTAATCAGTGTCATAATAATAGAAATTAATCACTGCGCCACAGCGTCGTCGGCCACCTGCTGCAGCTAGGCACAGTTGGAGGCAGTGGCTCGAGGCGCAAGGCTCGAGGCGCAAGGCTCGAGGCGACAGGCTGAAGGCTCGAGGCGACAGGCTGAAGGCTCAAGGCTATTTGTTGGCATGCAAGTTCAGGGGGGGGGGGGCAGGCGCTGGTTTGGGTTGGCTTTGAAGATTCCTGCGGTTTTGTGCAGCTTGCTGCGCATACTTTGTAAATGTTTTGTAATGATTTGATTTGAAATTCATTTGAATTATTGCTTGCTTCCGGCTTCCGGTGCCTTCGAAATACTTTCCTGTTTCAGTTAAGTTGAGCCAAAGCCACAGCACCACAGGCGGTCGCACAGTTGTATGCTATGGAAAGGCCACTCTAAAGGCCACTGTGACTTGCATTGCCGTCGCACCGCACCGGCCACCCCCCCTCCCTGACATCGTCTCCATATGATGTACCAGCAACTTAGTTGGCCTGTTCCCTAGCCACACTCACACACACACACACACACACACACACGAACACACGCACACATATGTTTGTGGCTCTTAGTCTGTCCGTCTGCTCGTCATTTTCACTCGCTTCCCTCTCACTCTCTCTTTCTCTCTCTCTCTCTCCCACTCTCTGGCTGTGTGTGTCCCGGGAGTTTATTAAGTACTGCCAAGTATATGCAAGCAGTCCGAGCAGCGTCGACGTCGCTGCCTGTGCGGAACTTTGTTAATATGCAAGTGAATGGACATTTCCGGTAGCTAGTGAACGTGCCAGGCCCAGGCTCTGAGACCGGAGACCGGGCACTGGGCACTGGGCACTGGGCGATACCCACACCCAGGGCATAGCCAAGCCCACTTCTGAACCTTGCCCAGCTGAAGGGCATAAGCTTGGCTCCTGTATAGTGCACACACACACACACATATGGACAGAGATATACACGTGAACTCATTGGATACATTTTTTTGCCCTTTCCAAATGTTGGTCATATGCGATTTGCGCTTAGCTAAGTTTTGTTAATAAATAACCATTATTATTATGAGTATTATTAATATTATTTTAATTATTATTATTAACATTAATAATGTGATGATTATTACGATTATAATTATTATTATTATTATTTTTTATATAATAAATATTATAAATATTATTATATTATCAGACTATTATGATATTTATTAATATTTGTATTAATTTTTATCATATCAATCTAAATTAATAAAATTAAAGGCTAATTATGTGCTAACTAATATATGTGCACGCCCCTCTTTGCCCTTATGACCTCGAGTAACTTAGAGACTGCAAAATCTAGATATGCATACTTTGGTATGTGGGTTCCTAACAAGAATATATGTATGCATATATGTGTGTAACCCTATTCGACTGTATTGACCTCACACGAACCGAACCGACACACTGGTTCCAGCTGTGAACCGAACCAGCGAAAACGTTTGTAGAGCTTGCTGTCAGGCGTAAAAAAAAATCCAAGCACACTTGAACTTAATTCTTTTCGAGCGATAGAGCATTTGTGATTCGTTATGCGCTTGCCTTTGCTCGGCCATTTGCTACGTTTTTTTTCCTTTTATTTTGACTCCGCTCATGTGTAATTTTTTTCAATTAAAATGATTTGAGCAGACAACTTTGAACGCCGGCCCGCTCGAGGCTTCTGGCCACAGAAATACTTTTGGCAAAATCATAAATCATGCAGCAGGCACCAGCCACCAGTCAGCGGTCGGGCAGTGGCAGCAGCAGGGGCAGGGGCATTGGGTCAGCAGACATGAATCGCATTGGAAATCGACGTCAGTTGCTGGCACCAAAAAGCGTTGACAGCGCGCAGGAGGAAGGCGGCGACGGCGACGACGACGGCGGCGGAGGCAGAGCGGGTTGGCCAAGTTTCGTTTTACTTTTGAAATAGTTGCAAAGTGGAAAAGTTTGAGCCGCATGCCGCATCATCAGCTGCCACAGTCTTCGCATCACACACACACACACACACACACACACACACTAGTACACAGAGAGCCCACAACTAATGGCAGTTAATGCTCGCATTTGGCATGCAGAGTACCTCAGCCAGAGAGTTGGAGCCGTTGCCACAGCCAGATGCCTCTCGGCCTGCGCCTGTGCCTGATCCTGCCTGTGGTCAGCGTGCGGTCAGCAGCCATAATTGTAGTTAAGGTTAATAAATGGCCGCCTCTGTCATTTATCAGGCACAAGCACAAAAAATTGACTCGGCCAACATTGCGAAATGCTCAATCGACATGCCACAAAATTCAAGCGTTTCAAGTTATTCGGTCATTTGGTTATTTATTTGTTTTATTTAATTTTTTGTTTTGTTCTGTTTTTTTTTTATTGAGTTTGAGCCTGGTTTTGAGCTTGGCCAGCGCTAATTTTAATTGCCGTGACGCGTTTGATTTTATTATTAAGCTTCTACTTTTTCCCCGGCCCGAATGGGCATATTGCTCTCATTGACATTTTTGTAACAGGTGTAACTAGAAGTTATATTGGAGAAAGTTTTCATTTGTTATTTTAAGCCAAATTAAATAGTTTATTATTTAAATTATTATTGATTATTAAATCTTCGACGTGAAGAAGATATCCTATCCGGGGTTTAGTTTATTAAAAAAAAATTTAAAAAATTGTTTTTATATCTACTTTTCCGATATATTTCCGCACTTTATTATATATATTATATGTATCTTATATCTTATAACAACAATCGTAATGAAGTAAAGCTTGTATAAAAAATCACTTTTTAAGGGTATTTCATCGTCGGCGTGCCAAAGACAGCTGCTCTTTCTTTTAAGCTGCAGCCAACGAGTACTTTTTGGAAAGTTCTTCGATATGACATTCTTAAGATTCCATTTGAAAAGCAATTTCTATAAGAAGATTATGTGGCAATTTTGAAAGAACGTAATATACATATATAGAGTTCCATCAATTAAATATGCGGCCTTTAAGTATACGTTTGGCAAACATTTGTGTACATATATCAAATACAAATAAATTGAAAATGTATTTAGTTAAATTAACTAATTAAATTAAATTAAATTAATAAATAAAAT